GGATTACAAAAAAACAAAAACAATTCGATCATGGATTAGAAAAAAATCGATCAAGTATTACAAAAAAATCTCTCATGGATTACAAAAAATAAAAAAAATAAAAAAATAAAAAAATAAATAAAAATAAAAATAAAATCCGTACGGGACTCGCTTATTCACTGTTCAGACTCGCCGATTCCGTACAGTGAATCGGCGAGTCACTACACAGAATCATCCGATTCTCTCTAGAACCGGACGATTTTCGATTTTTTAGCCGATACGATCCACTTTTTACGATTTTCGAGTCGAATCAGGCGAGTCCGGTTCGACTCGGCGTTTTTTAAAACACTGTGAGGTACACATCCACAATTAAGGAAAAGTCTTTGGTGAGTCCAGAATTAATGCATTTCCCTTAGCTTTTAAAGATTATAGGACCTCAAACACATCCTAAAATTCATTTTAGATTTTTATTTTTATTCATCATTTACGCCTAGATGATCATGAGTATGAAAAAAAAAAAACTTTTAAAATTAAAAATATAATTTTTTAATATATTTTTATGCACCGTCCATATGTTATTTATGGACAATACAACGTAGGAACGGTTTTCTTTAGGATGGACGTTCATAAGTCCGCAGTCTCATGTGCCTGCTTACTCATGAAACAATTTTCCAGCAAATATAAGAGTTTTAGATCTAAAATCCTTTTTGGAAAGGTGACTTGCTGCTCACGTATGTCCGAAATGCACCTAAACCCCTTCCCAAAATGTATACCTACCTAAATAGCTAGATGCGGTGTAGATTTGGTATCAAAGAGTGCTAAATTTTGATGATGTAAAAGTTTAAAACTATACCATTTAATTAAAATAAAGGTTGTGATTTATATAAAGTCACAACTTTATTTATAGAAGTAATTACCGTCTATTTTAGTTAAGGTTGCAACTTTATATAAAATCTTCTGGGCTTAAAAATACTTAATTGACAAAAAATTATATAAGGTCTCAATTTTAAAATATAGAATTAATGTGCACCTAAAAAATCTGAAGAAAAATGTTGTTTTGGTGTTGAAAAACCCTTTAATTGATCATCTTGATATCGAGATATATGAATGCATAAAAAAAAAAAAAGATTTTGAATCCCCAAAACTATTACATCTTGCAAGACATTGTATAGACCGTTCATTTTCAAAATTTTCATGTGTTTATAGATCTACTTGATTTAAACTATTTTGAAATTTAAAATTTTATAATTAGATATAAAAATAGATGATAAGGCAATTTTAAGAATTTTTATCAAAAATAAATTTTAGAGGTGTGGCAACCTTAAACAATCCACACCCACTTAATTGGATGATTTGAACCCTATAAAGGTCGGCCCCATAGGCGGCTAAGTTGTGCATCGGGACCACATAGAAATACTTTAAAAGTCATAATGAGAAGGATGAAGACCACCCTTCACCCTGACCTTAAAATAGTCAATAACAAAATAATAAAAAAAAGGAAAAAGGACATTGCCTGACGTTCACGTCATGGGGAGAGAGTGATTGAAGGGAAGCAAAAGGGACGGTAGGGATTTGGTAGGAAGCACCATCATCGCCCTCGGCCGTCAAAGTTTTGGCAGATTTGAGGCGAAATTTCGGAAATCTTAATTTCATTATTGTCAATTGAATATCGTCAAGATTCGAAAGTTTCGGTGAAGTCTTAATCTTCATTTTGAATAATAAAATAATTAAATTGGGTGCGGCTTACACATGGCACAATTTTGAAGTGGGCGCAGGTTGTACAGAGCCGAGGCTGTAAACAATCAAAGTAGAGCGTACCTTCAAACACCTTCAAACAGTGTTGAAAAATTTGGTTACTAAAAATCTTTGTGATAGCTTTAAAATATGTTTCTATTTTTAATTATAAAATTTAAAGCTTAAAAAATAGTGTAGATCGAATAAAACTATGAAAACTTGAAAATTTTGAAAAATAAGTGTTAAAAAATGTATTAATAGATGCAGTATTTCCAAAACTTGAAATCCATTCTTTTTTTTCTTATGCCTATACATCTTGATGTTGAAATGATCAATTTGAAAATATTAAACACCTAAACAACCTCTTCTAATGAAAATTTTGAAGTACATTTTAATTTAATTGTTTAAAGCCTCGGTTCTATATAAACTTCTTCCATATTTAAATTGAATTGAATTTTCTTTGTTTGGCACCACCCCCAAATGAATAGAATCTTTTACGGAGAAAAACAACTCAAGCTGCTTTTACCAAGATGCATAGGGAATTCCTCCTAAGGACCATGTGAGGACCATGAAAGTATGAATACATTTAGATACCGTTCCATAAGGCGCCTATGTTCTATAAAAATAAAATAAACCTCTCACATAAAGCACAAAATAAAGCTCTCACATAAAGCACTTTTGGGTATTTGAAATCTGGATTATGGCTCTAAACTCAATTCTACCAGGAAAAAGGAGAAGTTTACGAAGGGCCTAGCATTTAGCATTTAGGAAAACCAAATAAAGTATCAATTTAAATCCTCATTGAAAAGCACTTTGTGCATTGGAAATCTTTATGATGACTCTAAAATCAATGTCCAACATCGAAAATATAATTCGAAACTAAAAAAATGGTACTGATCTTGCGGATCTGTTAATACTTATTTTTAAGGTATAATGGATGATCTAAATATTTGGTTGTAATATACACTATTTTTAGAACTTGAAATTCTAATTTGTTTTTCACAACCACAATGTTCAAGCTGAGATGATCGATTTTAAGGTTTTCCAACACTTGAAATAGAATTTTTGAAGAGTTATGAGGTAAGGCATTATTTATTTTGATAGAACTACAACTCTATCAAAATAAATAACGCATCACCTCATAATTCTTCAAAAATTACATTTCAAGCTTTGAAAAACCTTTAAATCGATCATCTCTGCTTGAACATTATGGCTGTGAAAAAAATTTGGGATTTCAAGTTGTAAAAATAATGTATATTGCAACAAAGCAGCTGAAGCATCCATTATACCCTAAAAATAATTATTAACAGGTTTGCAAGATCTATACCATTTTTTAAGTTTCAAATCGTATTTTTGGTATTGGAAATTGATGTTAGATGCATTATGGAGATTTCCATTGCCAAAACTGATTTCCGGACGAGGATTTAAGGTGAGTCTTTATTTTGTTTTCATAAAGCTTAGACCTTATAAAAACTTCATCCATTTTAATATTGATTATGAATTTTGAAGCTTAGAAAACAATACAAATATTTCAGATCTGAAAACCCTTATTTTGAGGGTAAAATTGATAGTCTAAATTATATATTGCAATATGCATTATTTTAGATTTGAAATCCTACTTTTTTTCTCACCACTATAATAGTCAACCAAGATGGTTTATTTCAAGGTTTTTTAACGACAAAACTGCAATTTTTGATATGTTTTGAGGTGAGGCTTTACTTATTTTGATGGAGCCGCAACGGTATCAAAGTACTTTCCTAAATTAAAATTTGAATAAAAACACATCGCAAGCTTTGAGCTTGAGCTTCTTTTATATAATTGCTCGATTAATAGAATTTAAAAGGTAATTTCAAACAATATTGTATACGTACTCAACCACAATTGCAAGTTTTGTATTCTCTCACATTACAATTATTACAGAGATCCAAGAAAATTAGTTTAATGGTCTGGCTGAAAGAGACCAAGAAAATATATTTAGCTGCAATTTTTTAAAATTAGGGAACTACATCAAAGCCTTGTCCTAACTATTTTGAGTTGGTTAAATGAATGATGGACTATCAAATGTCATACTCTCAATAAGATTATAAGTCTTTGTATCTCTTCTCACTACTTCCATCTATATCCTTTACAGTTTCCCTCTTTCTTTTTAAAGCCTGCCTTCCACTTGAATCAAGTTGCATCTCCTAACTACCAAAAGGCATTACATCACAAGTTAATTTAGGTATTTTATTATGATAAAAGGGAAATAGTGGCGTATGCCCACTAACCTACAGCTACATATGAGCCAAATGATCCAGATTCAATCTGGGCCGATCTAACGGACACGACCTCATTTCGTATTTTAATTTTAATTTTTTTTATAAATCTAATCACTTGAAAATATGGACGAGTGTTCTATACAAATGAGATAATCCAATAAAAATATCAAAAAATATATTTTTTGTAAATAAATTGACCAAAATACCCCTAAAACATTTCAAGGGTATTTTAGTCTATTTATATTTTACGAATTATTTTTTAAATATTTTTATTAAATGCGCCTTGATAAAAAGAATGGATGTCTAAAATTGTATGTGATTTAGATTTACAGAAAAAAATTAAAATTAAAATACAAAATGAAGTCGTGTCTGTCAGATCAGCCCAGATTGAATCTGAGCCGTTTGGCTCATATGTAGTTGTAGGCTAGATGGCCAAATAGTTTAGAAAAATGGTTTGATAGAGCAGCAACCCTATTAAAATAAGCAAAACTTCACCTGATAACTCATTGAAAATTGCAATTCAAGAATTGTGAAAATTTTGGATTTCAAGCTCCGTAGACTATAATAAATTATCTAGAGCGTCCATTTCATTCTAAAAATAAGCATTTATAGATCCGCAAAATCTATATACCATTTTTTAATTTCAAAATTTTTCATCAGTATTCGAAATTGATTTTAGAGCCATCATGTACATTTTTATTATTGCCGAAATTTCTATTGCCCAAAGTACTTTTTATTTTAATTTTAATAAAGTCTAGGCCTTATGGTTTGGTGATTCACCTTTCCTTTTGCCCAGAAACTTCATCCAAGACTTTATGCTTAATGTATGGTTTGGTAAATTTAACGCGCTTTTTTCCATGCTTTATTTTTTTTATTTTTTTTTCGATATTTTAAACTTTTTGTTTTGTCTCTAAACTGGAGTAGACATATGCGATTAAGATTAAATTAACATCAGTTTTATCAATGGTATACTTTATTCCCAAAATATGCGCATATTTCGGATCAAGCACCTAAGCAAACCCTCCTCCTTTCATTGGTGGTCCTCTCCCCTACTCTCTCTCTAACTTCCACCTCTCTCTCTCTCTCTCTCTGCAAGTCTCTCCCCCTCTCTCTGCAACTCCCTCTCTCTCTCTGCAACTCTTTCTCCCCCTCTCTCTTCAACTCCACCGAGCCCCCACCATCTTGGAGGAGATGAAAAGCGCGGTTTCACTTTCTCTCTCTAACTTGTTGCCCCAACCTCACAGGAAGGCCCTGCTTTGTGCCCTCTACGCTCTCCTCCCCCTCGCTCTCTTACTCCGTTTCTCTCTCTCTCCTCCCACAAACCAATTCCGCCACCCTTTCCCCAACCCCAAAATCCACCTCCCCCGCTCCCACAAACCCATTTCACCATACCCCATCAAAGAAGGTAAGAACTTCTCTCTCTCTCTCTCTCTGTCAATTTTCCGAGGTGTTTTCCGTATAAATCCGTTCTGAATATGGATCAGTAATTTGATGCAGACTCCGAAATCCACCTCCCTGCAATTCAAAAACCAGTTTCACCTGACCCCATCAAAGAAGGTTAGTCACTTTCTCTCTCTACATTCTCAATCTGTTTCTCTCTCTACATTCTCAATGTATTTCTACGTGTCTTCCGGCCAAGTGTCGCCTGAATCTGACACACTCTTTGCTTTCAGACGCCAAAATCGCCATCTCTTCTGTACAAATACCCATTTCACCACACCCCACAAAAGGTACGTCACTTTCTCTCTCTAGCTTCTCTCTCTACATTCTCTCTCTAGTTTCTGAAAATCTCATGTTTGCAGAGGCAGAGACGCCATCATGTGATATCTTCGATGGAAAATGGGTAGCTGACCCCTCTCCCCCTCTCTACAATGGAACCACCTGCTCCACCATTAAAGAAAACCAGAACTGTATGGCCAATGGCCGTCCTGATACAGGCTATCTCCATTGGAAATGGCTTCCCTCTGATGGCTGCTCTCTCCCCAAATTCAATCCCTCTGGCTTTCTCTCTCTATTTCAGAACAAAAACCTCGCTTTCGTTGGAGATTCGATGTCCAGAAACCAACTCGAATCTCTCCTGTGTCTCCTCTCGTCTTTTTCTCCATCACCACAGCTTCTATACAGTGACACAGAAAAGAAATTCAGGAGATGGCGCTTCAATTCCCATAACCTCACCGTCTCTGTCTATTGGTCTCCATTTCTTGTTCATGGTGACGAGAAATCGAGCGCCTTCAACTACAATAAGCTCTATCTACACAAGGTTGATGAAAAATGGTTGAAGGAATTGGACCAGATGGATATGGTGGTGATTTCAGCTGGTCACTGGTTTCTTCACCCTGCTCTATACACAGAGAGAGATGAGCTTTTGGGGTGCCATTATTGCCCTGATCTCAACTTAACAGAGGTGGGATTTTATGGAGTTTACAGAAAAGCTCTCATGGCGGCTCTAAAGGGGATTGCAGAGAGAGAAAGCTTTAAGGGGCTCACAGTTTTGAGGACATTTTCGCCTGCGCATTTCGAAGGGGAGTGGGATAAAGCCGGGGCCTGTCCTAGAAAGGCGCCATTTGAGGAGAGAGAGAGAGCTTTAGAGGGCATGGATAAGGAGATGAGAGAGATTCAGGTTGAAGAGGCTGAATCAGTGAAGAAAAAATGGCCGGAATTTGGAAAGAGATTACTGGTTTTAGACGTTACAAAGCTTGCTCTGATGAGGCCTGATGGCCACCCTGGTCCTTATATGAATCCTTTTCCATTCATTAATGGCGGAGAGAAGAGAGAGAGAGTGCAAAACGACTGCGTCCATTGGTGTTTGCCGGGTCCTGTAGATACATGGAATCGGTTACTTCTCGAGATGGTAACACGATACCAAAAATCAAGAAAACCCCATTATCCGGCAAATGTCCCCTGAAGTTCGCCAGTGAAACAGCGACATTGCAGCTTCTCTCTGCAAATTTCACCGGAAAAATTCATGAGACGGCCATGAATGCTTTCTCTCCAACTCTTTCCTGGAACCGAATAGTACAGACTCTTTAGACTCTGCAAATTTTGCCCGAAATACTTGTGGAACATGGTTTTCTCTGTAAATATGGCCGGAATTCGCCGGAAAACTTTGATGATAGAGAAAATAGCATTTTCCGGTGGTTTACAGCACGACATTCAAGAGGATTCCGGCGACGGGTATAGTAATTGGAAACATGAAAAGTGAAAAGGAAAAGGAGAGGAGTGGAGCACGAGACGAAGGACGAGGTTCGCTACTTTTAGTTTTTATTGTTATTTATTCATTTATTATTTGTGTTTATTATTATTATTATTATTATTTTCTTTTATGCGTTTTGTTGGATTGTGGTTTGAGTGCAGCGACTGTCGCCATGTAGGCAGGACATGATTCTAACTGTTTTTTAGAGAGAGAAACTCAAGAAATGGGCTCTAGAGAGAGAAAATATAAGAGGTTTCATTAATGGAAAAAGTCTTTATTTATTGTAATTTGTATGCAAACATTATTTCAAGAGTGAGTGAGAAAATGTTGGAGCTTTTCTAACTTGTGCTTTTGATTTTCCTATTGAGAGAGAGAGGCTTGGAGAGCTGTTTCCTAGAGAGAGAAAGATCATAGGTTTTATGTCCAGGGTGCTTGTCCTGTTATTTTCCTATTATGAGAGAGGCTTGGAGAGCTGTTTCCTAGAGAGAGAAAGTCATAGGTTCTACGTCCATGGTCTTTTCCTAGACAGAGAAAAGTCATAGGTTCTATGTCCATGGTCTTTTTCCTATTAATTTCCTCTTGAGAGAGAGGTTGGAAAGTTCTTTCCCAGAGAGAGAAAAGTCATAGATCCTATGTCCGTGGTCTTTTTCGAGCTGTTTCCTAGAGAGAGAAAAGTCACAGGTTCAATATCCATGGTCTTTTTCCTTTTCTAGAGAGAGAAAAAGGTGGATACTGTGTTTGGTGAGAGTGGTTGTAACTTGGTCCAAAGACTTCAGCCCTTGCGACTTTCATGTTTTGTTTACCAAACAAACATGAAGGAAAAAAGTTATGTTGACATTTTAAATTGCAGTGTTAAGGAGCACCTTAAAAATTCATCAGGAAAAGGTTTTGTTTTGTTTTGTTTTATTAATATTTAGGTTAGAAGATCATTTAATTGATCATCTTGATATGATATTTGAGATGTAAGATGAATGAATAAGAAAAGGAAAAAACAAAAAAAAAGATTTCAAGTTCCAAAAATAGTACACCTTACAATATATTATTTATACCATCTATTTTTAAGATTTTCATGTGTCATTTTAATTTATTTTTTTAAGATTTCCTATTCATAATTTGCTTGATTGGAACCATTTTCTGAGTTTAAATTTTTTATAATTGGAGACGAAAAATAGTTACAAGGCCATCCTAAAAAATTTTGACATCAAAATTACATCTTATAAGTAGAGGTGCTCCTCACTTGAAAGGTGTGGTTTGTATAATACTAAGGCCCTGAACAATTAAGAAATGGGCACCTTGAAATGGTGTTGAAAGATGTTATTTTAATACTTGGAATCTTATTGATAGACTAAAAGTTTATTTTTTAAAAAATTATTTTCATCTCTAATTATAAAATTTGAAGAACAAAAAGTAGGTGTAGCTTTACCAAATTTATGAGCACTTGATAATCTTGAAAATTGACGGTCTTGAAAATGTATTATAAGATGCAATATTTTCAAAACGTGAAATCCAATTTTTCTCATGTTCATACATCTTGAGGTCAAGATAATCGATCATAGGATTTTTTTGGATCAAAACAACTTCTTCTAGTGAATTTTTGAAGTGCGCCTTAATGTGATTGTTTAGGGCCTCACCCATAGTTAGCAAATCGCTGTTTAATCAGCGCTTTTTTCAAAAATTTTGTGTTTTTATGAAAACAGTTTTAAATGGCGACTTTTTTAAAAGGTCGGCAAGAAATCGCGCAGTTTTCATAAAACTGTTTAAAACACCCTTTTTTCGTAATATGATTTAATTCAGGCAAAAAAAGTGTATCCTTTTTTTCCTATATTTTTTTTGAAAGATATTTTTTTTTTCCTGTTTTGTGTATTGCAGCTATTGCTACTTTCATGCTTTTAAAAAAAATATTATTTCAAAAAAAAACCTAAAATAGAAACTTTTATCCCCACTGTGCTCTTCAAAGCCACAGTTGCAGATTGATGGTATGATTTTTTTAAAAAAACTTAAACAAATAGATGCATATTTCAGTTGTTATTATGGAAAATCATTGTGTAAATGAAATTCTGTTTATAACAAATCATTTTATTGTGTAAAGAAATCATATACACGCAGATTTACGTGATTATTTGTTACAATTGTTTTTATGAAAATACTGTTTATGGCACAAATTAGAGCTCAAAACATAGTCTTTTACTGATGAATGAGAAGCAGAGTGTGATATTTTGTTTTGGATTATGTAAACTGTAAACTTACAGGAGCCAGTAATTGTACATATAAGATTAGTTCCCCAAACTTAATCTTTCAGCTCACTTCTTGTTTTCTCAGAAAATGAAAAAACCCTCTTCAAACTATTCCAAATCAGAGAGAAAAGTCCTCTTGAAACTATCCCAAATCAGCATCCCATCTCTCTTTTCTCTCTCTAAAAATAAGTTAGAGCCTCTTCCATTAGGGTTCTTCTTTTTTTTCTCTCTAAAAATCAGTTAGGACCTATTCCATTAGGGTTTGTGAAGCTCATGACCTCTTTTTTCTTCCTTCTTCTCTCTATAAACCCTAATGGCTATGAGCCCAGCCCTATTTTCGTATCTTCTTTCCTCCTTTTCTCTCTGAGCCATATACACAGATGTGAAACTCAAATTTCTACTAGCCTCTTTTCCATTAAATAAATTTATAAAACTTTATAGAGTGAACGTAGTCACCATACCATAGTTAAATCATTGTAATGAGAAAACAAAAATCGTACTTCCTAAGTAGGTGTGATGTTTAAGTATTTACTGAATAAATTTATATAGTATATTTATCACCATACCATAGTTAAAGTATTTTACTGAATAAATTTACGTAGTATATTTGTTTTTGTATGTAATAAGTAGGTGTGATGTTTCTTAAAGTATTTAACGGATAGATTTATATGATACATTTTTTTTTTGTATATACTAGTTAATTATGTATTTAATATTGGATGATTGGATGAGAGTAAGAGGCATGTAAATTAATTGACTTAATTATATAAGTCTGATAAAATTTTTACAGATGAAAAAATAATTGATGGCTTTGACATAATTTTTATTTTTAAGAATTTCAAAATTTCTAATATTATAAATTTATTTGGTTTTTCTACTCCAATTTTTTTAGCCTAATCTGATATATTAGCAATATCTTTATATGAAGTATTTTTGCCGATCCGTATTTTTTATCCGATTTTTTTATCAAATCTTTTAAAATAAAAACGATTTATTGACGGTCCTCGACTTGCTAACTATGGCCTCACCCTTATATAAACTTTTTCCTTTATTTAACGTTACAACCTTATGCAAGCCTCACCCGCACTTGAAACATTATCGTTGGAACTTATTATTTGCCACCAAAGGAGGAGCATAATTGAGTACAGGAGTGACTATTCAAAAGCATCCATGTTCGTGAAGATTAAAATTTGGACTGCGATAACTCGTCCTGTATTAAATCTATCATTCTTTTAAATCCCATGTGTGTGGTCCCTAGTTACATTAGATCCCATGTTCGTGGTCCCTAGTTACAGCAGGGCGGGCTATATTTCGGGTTTCTAAGAGAGGATAATCCGTCACGCCTTTCACGCCCAAGGTCCAAAATTTTATTCACGCCCAAGGTCCAAAATTCTTATCGCAAGTCAAAAAAAAAAAAAGAAATAAAAGAAACTTGAAATCCGATAAACTTTGTGCGGGCAATCTCTCCCCTTTTACCTGGTAGGACTTAAGCAAGAAAATTTCGTAATATTGTAAAAAAAATAAATAAATAAATAAATAATCGAACTTGAGATGTAACATTACTAATGACCCCCAAGCCCTATTTCTAATTCATGAAAAACTTTCTTTTGTACATTTTCTCTCTCCAAACTGTCTGATAATATTAGGCCTTTGGACCACATCCATGACATTGGTTCTTGAGAACCCCAAGCTTGTGAAATTAAGAACCTCAAATACGACGATCCTATTCAATATTGTGACATAGTTGGCTAAATACAAAATAGATAAATGCAACTATAAATCGAGTGCAATAAATAAAACAAAATCAAAACCAAAACTACACCACAATGATACACGATATACATGGTTCACCCTGTAGGACTATGTCCACGATCTCGGTAAGTAGAAATCTACTATCACAATGAAAATCTTATTTCTCTCCATACAGCTATTAAAAAAATAACCTCGAGAGCAACTAAATTTTTTCTACCTATAACTAAAAATTTAACCAATGCAAAATCCATATGGAAAAACTGCCTCTTTATGAGGCTATGTCTCTCTCTCTTAGAGACCCATCTCCTTTTTGGAAATCCCTTCCCGTGAACCCCAAAAGGGACAACTATGTAATCATAAGAAGGATGAGTATTATGTCTTTTTTTACTCCGTCATATAAGGATGACCTTTAAAGAAGACATAATACAGGATGACCTTTAAAGAAGACATAATACTACAGTAGGAGCTCTAACCATAGAAAACAAGTTTAATTCTCACTCTAAAATTTAAGGATATGGTTTTCCAAGAGTCTCACTTTGTCTGGAAGCTCTCAATTGTTGGGTCCAAAATGACTCTTGTAGATCTCCCATCCAATAGCGGCATACCCAAATACTTAGATGGGAGGAGATCTATTTCACAACTGAACCACTATGCATAATTGTCAAATCTCCCCATCTTTTGCAATAGATTCCTATTAGTTTTATTTTCTGCATGTTAGTCTTTTAGCTTAAAGTAACCTTATGGCATTTTATATTTAATTTCAACTAAGGAAGCATGGTAGAAAACAAAAATATCATTTGCGTATTGTACATGCTATATGATTAGACCTTCTCTAGATGTTTGGAAACCACTTAAAAGTCCCTCCGCTTTAACCAAATGGATCATGAGGCTAAATGACTAAATAACTAAAGTGAATAGAAAAAGAAATTGGGTCACCTTGATGGATACCCTTGAATTCTTTAAAATAGTGAATTGTTTTTTCCTTCTATGAACATCGAAAAATCAACGGAAGTAAAACAACCATTTATCCAATTTATCCACTCTCCCTAAAACCTATACGCCTTATGATATCCAAGAGATAGTCCTGCTCTACTCGATCATAAGATTTTTCAAAATCGAGCTTACAAATGACCGATGCTCTGCTATTTTTTGTTCTAGAATGAATACGTTCTTGTTCCATCAAATTATCGTCCATAATTTGTCGATCCTTGGCTAAAGTTGATTGGGTCCCAATATTACCATTTGAAGCACAAATTATTGTTAGCTGATAAGTAGTTTGGCAATAATTTTATTGAGGCTTGTTAATAGACTTATGGGTCTATGTCATGCAGAGATTTTCTTTCAGGAAT